GAATTACCCTATTACCATAGAAGCTTAGATGTATGAAAAGATATTGTAGATATGTGTAATGAAAAATTGTTAGTGATTACAACAGGGACGAATGAACTTTGGCAGCTATATTTTCTTAAGTTACTGATAAAAAAAGAAACTTTGGCAGCTAAATTTTTTTAAGTTACTGATAAAAAAAGGAACTTTGGCAGCTATAGGTAAGGGGACAAGTTTATGATAATGACAAAGAGGAAGACCTTCTTCCAACATTATCTAGCCAGCAACTTGTCTCCTTCTTTAGCTTCCTCTACGACGTTCGAATGTCTATCGACCATCACCAAGTCTTTGTGATTTTGCTACATTTCATGCGACCTAGATTTAATACAGATAATTTGTGAAGATATTTGCTTGTTCCTAGGTTGAACACCTACTTGCAAGCTGTGTGTTCGCGATTTCTAGCCTTAAATAATAGTTACTTATGACTTATGATAGATAAGCATACATCCAGTGGAGATTGTAACTTTATAGTTAAGCATTGATGTAATACACTAATGCTTTCCAGTAGATTAATCTGTTAGCCTATTGTTTTGAATCCCGCTGCCTCTTAATGCTTGCAGAACGAAGAGGTTGATTTGGATGTCGATACGAATCTTATGGTTTTCTTGCATTGTACTTTTCTTTTCATTCTTTCTTCTAAACTTCTGGCACCGCATTTTATATAGGATAAATGGAGAAATTTGAATGTTAGTGCCAATGGACAAGGGCCAAGGGATAAATCTAGGACACAAAAAGTGAAGGCTGATGCTCCTGCAGCTCCATTGCTCATCACACAGGCCCCTGTTTCCTCCACTCCAGTTCTACAAGATGCAGCAGCAGACACTGTCATGGAAGATTCTTCAAAATGCGCATTAGACGGAAAAACTGCTTCTAAGTTTGTCTTTCTGGATTTCCTTTTCGAATTCTTGAATAATTCAGAGAATGAGACGTTAGATCCATATTTTTTGAGATAATGATTTCATCTTTGTCAAACTTTTATTATTGTTAAATCACACTGATTTGGGAAAAGATAAGCAATTTTTCTTTGAATGGTATGAAATGCTTCTTATGGTAATCTATTAACTACTCCCTCCGTTCCAGTTTATGTGAACCTATTTCCTTTTTGGTCCGTTCAAAAAAGAATGAACCCTTTCTAAATTTGGAAACAATTTAGCTTAAACTTACAATTCTACCCTTAATGAGAAGCTTTTATAGCCACACAAATACTCTGGGCCCCTTTTTGAGTTGTTTAGGACCACAAATTTCAAAAGTCTTCATTTTTTCTTAAACTCCGTGCCCAGTCAAACAAGTAGACATAAATTGGAACGGAGGGAGTACTGATTATGGGGTGAAACAATCTGGTCCAACATGGATACTAGTAAGGACACAAAGATGTAATTTTACCGTTTGCCCCTTTATCTGTCCAAATAAATAATCTTGTATCTCAAATTGACCATATTAGGATTTCTGCAACATAGTACTTGATGAATGCTCATCATTTCCTGGTATCTCAAATAAGAGGTTGTTTAGGTTAGCCAAGGCGCGAGAAAGGAAGGTGCGTGAGTTGGACAAAGTGAAGTGCATCAAGGACGAATAAGGTAGAGTTTTGTTGGATGAGTGGCTTATCTATCGAAGATGGCAGACCTACTTCCATAGTCTCTTGAACGAGGAGGGGACAAGAGCATTGTATTGGGTGATTTGGAACTCTTAGGGAGTCGTTGTGACTTTGGGTATTGTAGGCGGATTGGAGTTGATGAAGTTGAAGGGGCTATGCGTAAGATGAGCAGGGGCAAAGTGGCCGGGCCGGAAGGCAGGCTTGGAGTAGCTCACTAGGTTATTTAATGTCATTTTTAGAACGAAAAAAATGGCCGAAGAGTGGAGGTGGAGCACGATAGTTCCCGTATACAAGAAAAAGGGTGATATCCAAAATTGTAATAACTATCAGGGTATCAAGCTGCTTAGCCATACTATGAAAGTCTGGGAGAGAGTTAGAGCTAAGAGTGAAGAGGAGTGTCTCTATTTCCGAGAACCAGTTTGGATTTATGCCGGGGCGTTCGACTACAAAAGCCATCCACCTTGTTAGGAGATTGATGGAGCAGTATAGGAAGAGAAAGAAGGACTTGCATATGTTGTTCATCGACTTAGAAAAGGCATACGATAAAGTTTCGAGGGAGGTTTTGTGGATATCTTTGGAGGTTAGAGATGTACCAGTTGCCTACGTTAGGTTGATTAAGGACATGTATAATGGAGTGAAGACCCGAGTGAGGATGGTGGGTAGGGACTCGGACCATTTTCCGGTTATGATAGGGTTGCATCGGGGGTCGGCACTTAGCCCTTTTTTGTTTGCTCTGGTGATGGACGTACTGACGCGCCACATTCAAGGGGAGGTGTCATTCAAGGAGAGGTGTCGTGGTGCATGCTATTTGCAGATGATATTGTATTGATTGACGAGTCGCGAGACAGTGTAAACGCGCATTTAGAGGTATGGAGGCAGACCCTGGAATCTAAAGGTTTCAAGTTGAGCAGGACCAAGACAGAATACTTGGAGTGTAAGTTCAGTGGAGAGACTCAAGGAGGGGAAGGGGAGGTGAGGCTGGACTCGCAGGTCATCCCTAGGAGAGGGAGTTTTAAGTACCTTGGGTCTATTATTCAGGGGGATGGGGAGATTGATGAAGATGTCACCCATCGTATTGGGGCAGGATGGATGAAATGGAGACTCACTTCCCGTGTTTTGTGTGACAAGAAGGTGCACCGAAACTTAAGGGTAAGTTCTATAGAGTGGTGGTCATACCAACAATGTTGTATGGGGCTGAGTGTTGCCCAGTCAAGATCGCTCATGTACAAAAGATGAAGGTAGCAGAGATGTGGATGTTGAGATCGATGTGCGGGCACACCAGGTTAGATAGGATCAGAAATGAGGTTATTCGCGACAAGGTGGGTGTGGCCCCTGTTGAGGACAAGATGCAGGAAGCGCGACTTAGATGGTTTGGACATGTGAGGAGCAGTGTTATAAATAGCGCTCGCTACAGCGCTAAAGGCGTGTAGCGAGGCGAGGCGAGCATGTAGCGCCACACAGGGACTGTTGCGTTGCGAGGCAGAATAGCGTGCGCCTCTGCCTCTGTTGCGAGTGGCGAGGCGAGGCGAGTGGCGACCAGAGGCGTCGCTATTTTGAGTATAAGTCACAAATTAAAAAGGCAGCGTTTATACTTAACCAATTAGGGCTTGGGTATAATCTGTAAGACTACGATACCCTTCTTCTCCATCGAGTTGCTCCGATCGACAAAAATTAGGGCTTGGTTCTGCCTCTTCTTCTTCTTCCATCATCTGCCTCTCTGCCTAGCGACCAGGTATGTTTCTTCTTCTCCTTTCTTCTTCTGGTCGACCACCATTGTTGGTCTTCTTTTTTCTTCTTCTTTCTTCTTTCTTCTCTGTTTGTCGTCTCTTTCACCCAGCTCTGTTTTTCTTTCTTCTTCTTTGCTCTGTTTTTCTTCTTCTTTCTTCCTATCTTTGTTCTGTTTTTCTTCTTCTTTGCTCTGTTTCTCCATCATCTCTTTCAGCTCTTCTTTTTAATTTTTTTTCTCTGTTTTTCCAAAACCAAGCAGAGGCAGTATTGCAGTAACTTCTGTCTCTGTTTTTTCTCTGTAACTCTTTTATTTTCTTTCTCTGTTTTTCACTTTTTCTGCAATTCTGCTAAGTTGCTTAAATTATTTTTTTGTTGTTCTGTACTTCTGTTTTTAAAAATAGTTAGGGAGGCAGTAACTTATTGTGTTATTGATTTGTTGCTCTATTTTTCTATAAAACAATGCTGAAATTGAAATGGCGTCATCCGATAATAATAAACGAAGTGATATAACTTGGAATTATGCTATACCAGGCTCATCAAGATCCGCAATCAAATGTGTGTTTTGTGAAAAAATATATAATGGTGGGATAACTCGTCACAAGCAACATTTGATAGGTGGTTTTAAGAATGTAATACAATGTCCAAAATGTCCGCCCGAGGTTAGGGAGGAAATAAAAGCATTTGTTGAAAAGAAAAATATGACAAGAACTCAAATGAATTTCGAAGAATCGGAGAATATAATTGATGAAGATGATGAAATGGATGAATATGGTGAAATGAGACCTCCCCACACAAAAAACTCAAAAGATATATTCTGGTTCTAGTGGGTCAGTCACGTCACGTGCAGCGACAAAAGGTCCCCTCAATCTTTATTTCCCGGCAAAACAACAAGAAAAGGGAAAAGGTGAAGAAGGCTCAGGCTTAGAAGCCAAAAAGATTTTGAGGGATCGCGCCGTAAGTGCCTTTGCAGCATGGATTTACGATGCAGGGCTTCCTTTCAACTGTGTTAACTACTCTACTTTTGATAAATTCATTGAGGCCGTAGGACAACATGGCCCAGGAATGAAGCCTCCTAGCTATCATGAAGTTAGAGTAACTCATCTTAAAAAAGAGGTGAAGAAGGTAGACCAAATTATTGAGGAGCATAAGGTGGAATGGAACAAGTTTGGATGTTCCATTATGATGGATAAATGGACAGCACAGAATGGAAAAATGGTCATGAATGTGTTGGTAAACTCTCCAAGAGGGAGTGTTTTTCTTGAATCTCACGATGCTAGCAACTCTTCAACGGATGGTAACAAAATGTACAACTTGTTTAAAAAGACTATTGATAAAATTGGAAATGAAAATGTTGTACAAATTGTTACAGATAATGCTAGTGAGAATGCTAGTGCGGGTAGGAGGATGGAAACTAATTATCCGCACATTTATTGGACTCCATGTACTGCCCATTGTATCAACTTGATGTTTGGTGACATATTCAAGGAGCACCCATATGCTTCAGGTAACTTTAAGTTTAAGATAGTTATATTTACAGTTTTTCTATTAAATATTAACTATACAAACAATTTCTGAGGGCCATCGGACTGGGTAAAACCTGAATTAACCGTGGTGCACTTGCGGGAAACTCCTTGCCGAGGGCCTGTGCACCCCCGGGATTAGTCGGGGCTCTTAGAGACTCGGACACCCGGTGCAACTCAAAAAAAAATTGTTATTGTTACCTTTACAGTTTTCAATAAGGCCGTCAAGGTATATTCTTACATTAGTCAGAGGCCGTTGTTGTTGAATTTGATGAGGAAATTCACAAATGAAAGAAATTTGGTAAGACCGGCCAAGACTAGATTTGCAACGACTTTCTTAACTTTGCATAGTTTTTACTTGCAAAAGAAGAACTTGAGAAAGCTAGTTCTTTCAAATGAATGGAAAGATAACAGATATGCAAAGGAAGCTGCTGGGAGAGAAGTTGCCAAAGTTCTTATTTCTCCATTATTCTGGAATGATGTCGTTCGGGCTCTTAAAGTTGGTGGCCCTTTGATTAGGGTGCTTCGTATGGTGGATGGGGAGAGAAAACCACCAATGGGCTATATTTATGAAGCTATGGATAGAGCCAAAGAGTCTATTGCAGCGTCATTTGAGGGAGAGGTTAGGAAACATGAGAAAGTGTTTGAGATAATTGATAGCAGGTGGACGGATCAAATGCACAAACCTTTGCATGCAGCAGGCCATCTTCTGAACCCAGGATTATTTTACACGAACACTAGAGATGATATTTTGACTCAAGAGGTGTGGATTGGATACTATGCATGTCTGGAGAAGTTGGTCCCTAATTCAGCAACGATAGATCAAATAGGGGAGGAGTTTGGTAGGTACTCACAAGCAGAGGGCCTATTTGGTTTACAGACGGCCATTAGAGCCAGAGACATAAGGTCGCCAGGTAACTAACTTTAATATAGATATCCTTATAACTTTAATTTAATTTATTTGATTTATACTTATTAAACTTTAAAATATTTTTCTATAGTTGAATGGTGGAAGCAATTTGGACACCAAACTCCAAACTTGCAAAAGTTTGCCATCAAAGTGCTAAGCCTAACTTGTAGTGCATCTGGATGCGAGAGAAACTGGAGCGTATTTGAGCATGTAAGAAATAGATTTATTATATTATTAATATATTCGATATTGTACTACTATTAGTATCTATTAATTAATCTAAACAACTTGAAAAGGAATAGGCTTGAGCTATCGCGCCTCAATGATCTAGTGTATATTAAATACAATAGAACATTGAGGCGACGTTATGAAGCTCGCGATACCATTGATCCAATCTTGTTGGACAACATTGATGAGGCAAATGAATGGTTAACTGGAGCCCCCCAAAATCATGAAGATGAAGAAGTGTATGAAGGAGATGATCTTGATTGGGGTACTGTTTCTATGGCGACCGGACTTGAGAGAATATCTATGGTCTTAGAGGGAGTTCTTCAAGTAACAAGGGAAAGGGAGTAGCAAGTTCAAGTGGCCGGTCCCTAATTGATGAAGAATCTGAGGATGAAGAAGATGATAGCCAATATAATGCTAGTATTCATGAAGTTGTTGAATTTGAAAATCTTGAAGAAGAATAGATAGTCATACTGTCATAGACTCTAGTATCAACTATGAGTCTATGACTATCTATTTGAGTCTTTAATTTTTGAATGATATTTATTAATATATTATTGTTATTGAACTTTTAGTTATATATAATATTTTATGTTTTTGTATAAATCGTCGCTTCACATCAAAAAGGCGAGCGCTTCGCTGCGTGCCTCTCGCCGCAGTGAAGCGGGCCCTCGTCGCTATTTGTCGCCGCACACTGTTCAAAACACTGGTGAGGAGGAGCACAGATGCCCTGGTGAGGAGGTGTGAGAGGTTGACATTGAAGGGCCTATAGAGAGGTAGAGGTAGGCCAAAGAAGAGGTGGGAAAAGGTGATTAGGCAAGACACGGCGCAACTTCAGCTGACCGAGGACATGACCCTTGATAGGAAGGTATGGAAGTCGAGGATTAGGGTAGTATAGTAGGTAGTCTAGAGTGTTCTTAACAGTAGTATTGGCACGCAGTCTCGCTTTTATGACTAAACGTTGTTTCCTTTCATCGTTGATCACCTTACTGTCTTGTTGTTTTTATTCTGCTTTTATATGGCTTTTTGGTACTGTCCCTTCTTGTCTATATTTTCATTAATGTAGTGCTTATGCTTTCCTGAGCCGAGGGTCTATTGGAAACAACCTCTCTATCCTCACAAGGTAGGGGTAAGGTCTGCGTACACACTACCCTCCCCCGACCCCACGGTGTGGGATAATACTGGGTATGTTGTTGTTGTTGTTGATGATGAATGCTCATTATTTTAATATTTTAGCTGAATTTTTAACCTACTGCAGAGAACCACTTGCATCTCCTACCAAATAATTGAATATAGGTGGAAGAACAAAATATATAACAGTGTTTGATAGCCGTCTGTGTACATTACCATTTTTCGTTTTTGTTCTCTCATAGTTCCTAGCAATTCCGTTCATGTTTTCTTGAAATAATATTATTGCTTTATTCTTGTTCTTAGGTACAACCAAATGATATATGATGCACTTTCAAGTTTAAAAGAGCCAAATGGATCAGACACAAGCACAATTGTCAACTTCATTGAGGTATAAAGCGGCACCATTACTTTCTGGTTTTCTCTTTTGGCTTTTCTAGCCATCCATCAGGTATTTGATACTTCTGCTTACTCCTTGACATTCAAAAAAGCTGTTATATTTTACTAGTAGTACTATGAATTAGGCAATCCCTGTGATTTTGACCATGCAGAAATGAATTTTAAGTTTTCTGAAGCTAGATAAAAGTGCTATCAATAATAACAATAGGATTTTCAACAAACTATAAAGCAGTTACAGTTCCAAGGTCATTAAAAATGATAATGTGGCGCAGCCGTGTATGGGATGAAGACCTTTACTATCGTCCAACATAAGACCTAAAGAATATGTGTTTGTGTTTCTTGTTTACATCTCCATGTTTTCTTTGCCACACTTGGAAGACACAGACAGAGAGGATAAAATTTACAATCCCTCAAGATACCCAGGTTCTCTCTCTGTGGCAAGAGAGCTAGAATTTATTCCAGGAAAACAGGAACACATTTCAACTTTGATTAATGAACAGAACAAAACTTTTTTCAAAAGATTTCATTTCAAATTGGTTAATGAACAGAACTAAAAACTTACTCCCACTGCCTAGCAAGAAATCATTGCAGACCTGCTGCACACATGGAAGAATGATTGCAGAAGTATGTCGTATGGAATTCAAGATATTGAGGCTCGATAATTCTAGTAGTAGTTGTTTTCTTTTGTCTGATAAAATTTTTAGTTCACTAATGTTTTTGCTGGTTGATCACCGATAAAAAAATGTATTTGCTAGTTGATTGCTCATAATTTAATGCATAATACTCTATGCAAGAAATGACTGAAGGGAACCTTTCTTATTGTTTTTGTATCTACTGCAGCAAAGGCATGAGGTGCCCCAAAACTTCAGAAGGCTGCTGAGTTCTAGGCTGAGGAGGCTTGTTCAACAAGACAAACTTGAAAAGGTCACCTTGTTTTTATTCTCATTTATCAGTTGGGTTACTGGTAACACTTTCTTTTGTAACTTCTTTTGGCACCAGAAGACTGGTCTGGTTTTTAAACACAAAACTTTATGTGCTTCATTTTCGACTTTTTTAAAGAACTATAAGAAAAAAACATCCAAGTAGAACCCACATTCTGGAACACCCTTATAAAGTTAATAGCTTGGTTGAATGAGTATGCTAAGTTTCCTCGCCAGTTTTCAGATGTTTGAAGCTGGATTAGTGGCACAATTAAGATCATCATGACCAAGTTGTGCAGTGTCTCATGCATATATCATTATGTGGCTTGGGTGCTTGGTATTTTATGTAGTGAAATGCTTGCATCTTTTGGGCAGAGTAATTCTCTTCTTGTGTGAGGAATTATTCTGGAATTATTCTTTTGGTTATCTAATATGATTTGGATGGAAAAGAATGTTTGCATAGTTCATAGTTGATTGCTTTACATACTTCTTCTGGGTGTCCTCCTAAGTGGTCGTTATCCTTGGTTGCTTTACATCAGTAAAGTGCATCTTTTCAGCAACTTTTCTCTTTTACCACATAATGATTTATGGATTTTTGAAACTGAAATCGAAGGACAAGCGAAAGAGCATGAAGGAGTTAGGTGTTTGCTTGCTGAACCACCGAATAATGCATTCTGATATTCACCTGACTATTAAAATTCTGAATTCTGGCATTTTAATTTGTGGCATCCACTTCAGATTGAGAATTGCTACAGGATTAAGAAAGAGGTGTTAGAAAGAACAAAGACAGCTACCCCAAAACAAAAACATGTTGGGCCAAGACAGTTTCCAAGTAGTACCTATCTTGGTGATACTGTTGAAGAAGCAGCAAAGACTGCTGTTTATAAGGTTGCAGAAGCTGACAATAAATCATTTGTAGCAGCTGAAGCAGCTAAGGAAGAAGCGAGAGTTTCAAAGATGGCTGAAGACCAAGATAGTTTACTGCTATTGGCCAAGGATATTTTCGACAGATGTATGCTTTCTTCCTATCGTCTTGTTTGTATGTGGTGTATTTTAGATTGTCTTGTTTAACATTTACTTATATGCTTATTCTTGCATCCTCAGGCTCACAAGGCGAAATTGTGCTAATGGCATAAAAGGGTCTTCCCCCTCTTTTGTAAAGTCGGAACCAGCTGTTCAGAACCTCTAAAGTATGTTAGTATTCTATTCGAATCAAGTAATTAGTGATATGTGGTTTTTTGTTAATTTAAGTAGTATTAGTTAAGACCTTTGCACAGGTTCTCTTCTCCTATTATGTATTCAGCGTAGCAAAAGTTGGAGAGGGATAGAGAGATTATTATAAAGCTTGAGATTTGATGCTTGTAAATCATGCAGTTCTTTCTATCTGGCAAATTGATAAAGAGTACTCTGCTTTTACATTCGGAGTATTGTCACAGTTGTTCTTCTACTGGCGATAGGTATTAGAGTTGAAGATTTTGTCCCGCAAAAGAAGAATAATGAGAATTGTAGCAAGATTTCAGGCCATACATGTCACCTTTTTACTTTCTTTTCCTACTTTTATGGAGACGTGGACTATCTGCTTTAACCAAAGTTATTATTAGTATTGGACTTTATAAGAAAACTAATAAAATTCGATTCTTTTGAACTATTTTTACTCTCTTGGTGGCCAATGCCTTGCGTACAAAGATAGCATCTCCTTTGTTATTCAACTTATTCCAATTCTAGATATTAACTTCTGAATTTTCTTTATTTAGTATTGCTATATTTTAATGGTAACAGGCAACGCAATGCTCAGGTTCGGGTTAGCCTGTTAGGGTAAAATGTAGCTTTTCTTCTGAAGCGTCTTAGTTCAATGGAGGAAATACTGATATTTCCCTAGCCTCCACCTAATAAGAAGAGTTGCAGAAGAAACGAAGTAATTCTTCTCTTAAATGAATAGAGCACTTTTTCTTTAGTAATTACTAAAGAATAAGGTCAAATCTCATTGTTCTCAAAAAATAAAAAATAAAAAAAGTTCCACATCAAATACACCACTTTCTATTTTACTACTTTAACATGTCCTACATAATAAGAACAAGGGCAATTAAGTAATAAAAGGAGGTTTCACTGCACAGACTTCAAACCACCAAATGTCACACATCTTTCTTCGCCTACATAAAATCTTGAAGCTATTTCACTAAAAATCAAGAGATTAGGTAGAAAGTACACATCATTTAAACATAATCACTGGCAGTCTCAAAAAAAAATTTAAACATAATCGCTGGAATTCATTTACAAACAAAATGCAATTGAAGAACGTGTACGTAACAAATAAGGGTGAAATTTTGCATATAAAGGAAAGTGTATCACCAAAACTTTATATTCACTATTAAGATTTCAAAATTAGAAAGCGAATTCTAAAATAATTGGTGAGCACACAATAGATGCATCAGCGAAACTATGAAATTTCAAATTTCTCGTGGGCGAGACCAACTTGTACCGCACCTTGACTATTTAACGAGTATTTGCTACCTCTCACCAACATATATACCAGGTAACTCTGCTCACTTACGATCATTTGACGAATCCGAATCCGAATCCGAAGCCGGAAGAGGTCCTTTTCACATACTGGAAAATACATAACTTCCTTCTAAAAATCCTGCATTCTACTTCGCAGTTTCTCTTTTAAATTCATAAGTGTAATTTTGCTCCGTTCTTTGAGGATAGAAGAAGACAACAAAAATGCTGAAAAGAAGTCACGTGGAAACTCGACAATAATAAGGGCTAACATTGTTGAGGAGGCGCCACAAAACAAGAAGAGAAAGAAGGCTTCTGGACCAAAAATTACCCAAGCAAGAAAAAGTTCAAGGGTAATTGCCACAACTGTGAAAAGTCTGGGCATAAGGCCGTGGACTGTCGTGCATCAAAGACTGATGAAGAAGAAGAAGAAGAATCAAGCTAACATGGTTGAAAAAGTTAAAGAAATGGAGGACTTGTGTGCCATGCTGTCTGAATGCAATTTGGTATGAAATCCTAAAGAATTGTGGATTGATTCTGGAGCCACCCGCCATGTTTGTGCTAACAAGGAGTTATTTTCTTCTTATGCCCCCGCAGGACCCGACGAGACAATTTTCATGGGAAATTCATCTACAGCCAAAATTGATGGAGTTGGCAAGATTGCGTTGAAGATGACGTCGGGAAAAATTGTGACTCTAAACCAAGTTCTATATATTCCAGAAATTCGCAAGAATCTTGTGTCTACCTCACTTCTTGTCAAGAATGGATTCAAATGTATTTTTGTTTCTAATAATGTTGTACTAAGTAAGAATGATTTGTATGTAGGAAAAGGTTACCTGAATGAGGGCCTTTTT